GAGGAGGAGAGAAAAGACAGACGGACGTAACCCTGAAATGATACCGTCACTGTGCGGCAGCTGTGAAGAAAGGACATGAGCTGGAATAAAAAAAAAAAAAAATGCTTCAGTAATCTAACAAGACTCAGGGAACCCGAAAGCCTCGCTGACAACAAGCACACGGAGCAGAACCAGGAACTATCTTTATCCAATCATTCCCACACCACCTACTGATCTTCTCCCATCAAATTATTAAAATTTAGGCTATTCAAACACAGTCCATACCCATTACAGGGAGCAAAACTGTCTTCTAATTCTGAGGATTAATACCAGCTAATTCTTGTAGCCCCCCCCCCATTTATATTGATGACTCTACCCAGCTGTGCCTGTGTGCTTCAGTTTGGTTCACATGGGTGAGACTGTGAAAAGTACTTTTGTGTCCCAAGACAAGGGATTTGACGTTGCTGGTGTCTCCTTCCTTTTCCTTCACACTAACTGCCGCAGATGGAGCAAAGGTTCAAATGCGCCTCAAATCGTCACGGTAGTATGAGAAAGCACAGGAAACAAATTTATAGCCTCAGAGTAACAAAGGTCTTTCAAAGTCTGACAAAACCCTGGAGCTGCAAAGAAACAATCGATTCAAGCATCTAAGATGCATTTCCATATTGGGAATAAAGCTCCACGAGCAAAGGAAAACTAATGGAACCATAAACTCAAAGATTGCACACTATACACAAAGGCCTTTAGAAGTAATAGTGTGTAGAGAATTCCTACGAATCTACAAGAAAAAAAAATCAAGCCCCCAGTGAAAAGTAGAATGTTAAGAAAAGACACACACAAAGGAAGCACAGAGGGGCCTCCGCTTAACCGCATGTCTAGCTCCTACAGGCTGGTGCATTCCACGCGCCCTGCACGCCTGAGCTGGCCACACCTTGCTCTGTACAACCCGATAATGCGGTCTGTGTGAGTCACCCAGCCTCTGGCTTCCTGCTTCTCATCTTATCCTTCCTTTGACCTCCCCAGCACACCTCTCGGACGAGCTGACCAATGCAGAGTGCACACCTCAGCTGCTCTAAGCACCTCGGGGCGCACAACACCCCAGAAACCCATGGGGATTATTTAGATTGGCTCTTCCTAAAAGCTCGCCTTGTATCTTTAGCTCAGACACCGCGGTACAGCTTCTTCCCCAGTTCTCCCTTTCTGTCCACCTCCCCATCTACTCTAATACTTAGGCCCGGCCCCTGCCACCACACGGCATCCATCTGCTCAGAAACTGTGAGTAGTGAAATATCTATTACCGAGGAGGGCATCTCCTGACTTGTCGGCCTTCATAAACTTCAAATTTTCTATTATCATGGTGTGTGTGTGTGTGTGGTGTGTGCCACGGATTCTCATGTGGCTGAGCCTGGCTTTAGGTTTTCTATGTAGCAGATGACATCTTGAATTCCTGACTGCCTGCCTCCACCTCCCAAATGCTGGGGTTGAACAGTATGTGCCACCGTGCCAGACTGAGAACCCTCTGTGTTAGGCAACCGCTCTGCCAACTGAGCTACCTCCCTAGTCCAGTATGCTGTCTTTCAGGATAGTCTGATGTAGAAACAGAAGCCCCCCTTACTGCAAGGTAAATACAAGGGTATGATAAAAACACACCACCACCCCCCCAAGTAAGAAAACATCCCAGGACATACAACAACCGTTAATGAGAGAAGCCATGAATTGGAGAGAGAGCAAGGAAGGATGTATAAGGGTTTGGAGGAAGGGAACGGAGGTATGACTTAATTATATTACAATCTCAAAAACAAAAAACATAATTAAAAACATTACATAGCAGGCAGAGCTGATTGGAATAAAGAAAGGCACATATATGGTTGCAAATTGTTACAATCTTCTAGGGACGGCCTCGTAACAGTGAAGACACAGTTTAAATACACAGACTATGATCCAGCAATTGCATTTCTGGATATATAACAGTGTTTTACAAACGGGATCTGAAGAGATATTTGTATATCATGTTTGGAGAAGTTGAGAAACGAACAGAGCTGCGGTGTTCACTGACACGAGAGTGGATAATCACACAGGGTGACATTCTGACAGAGGCTCCGGCGTGGCTGAACCTTCACACAGGGTGACATTCTGACAGAGGCTCCGGCATGGCTGAACCTTCACACAGGGTGACATTCTGACAGAGGCTCCGGCGTGGCTGAACCTTCACACAGGGTGAAATTCTGACAGAGGCTCCGGCGTGGCTGAACCTTCAGGACACGATGCTACGAAAAATCAGTCAGCTGCACACAGGAAACTGGCGTGTGATTCCCCTTACAGGAATGATGTGGAGCGGCCACACTCACAGAGATGGGGAGCAGGGGGGTGGGTGGTTCAGGGACTCCAGAAAGGAGAAGTGGGTAACTATTTAATGATCACGAAGTTTCAGTTTTGCTAGCGAAAACGTTCCAGAAAATGCCGGGATGGAGCAAGAGAGTGCTCAACATCACTAAAAAGGTAAAAATGAATGCATTTTATCATAAAGATTCAGAACTAAATATACCCACTGACCCAGCAACTCCACTATTATGAATTTGTCTTTTTAATCTGATAATCCCAGTGTGAAATGGTGCACACAAGGTTATTCAATCTATCATTGTTTCTAATGGAAGCATAAGATTGAGAATGACCAAAGTCTCAGGACAGAGAATTGCTTAAAAAGTGTTATACTGAAATACTGTGTGGATCATAAAACAATATGAACATAAATTTGTATGTGTAAAATGTGCATTCTAATACCACTTCCTTGTTTGTGCACAGACATAAAAGATGGCTCGTCACTGTGGCTCTGAGGAGTGGACTTCAGAGAGTGGAACGGGGTAGAAAGCTAACTAATTTTCATTGTATATGGTCCTGTGCCCTTTGAATTTTGTGCTATGTGCCGTTTTTACAAATTAAATATTAGTTTTAATTTAAAAGTTAATCTCATGGTTGAAACAAACTTTGTTATGAGGCTCCCGCTAGCCTGTGGTAGAAGTCCCAGTCTGGGCACCTCTCACTGCTTAGCCACGGACAACCTGATTTTGCTGCTCGGAGAATGACCGATGGTGCTGGCCAGTGTTATCTGTAAATCTGGGTACAACATGGCCAGATACCCAATCCTACTCCGTTTTGTTTACTGCCCAAGGCTCCATCTATGGATGTCAATACTTTCTCGTGACATTACAGTCACATATTTTAATTGGAAAGGGTATTCTTGATTTCAATACTTGAACTTTCTGTTTCAATTCTCAGTATAAGTGGTTCTTAGGATGCTAAGGGTACACAAGACGTCCAGTCTCAGAGATCCACAGCTATCCAAAGCCAACTTATTTCTCCTCCAAGGCATGTTCTTTCTTTTATTTAAGGAGAGAATAATAGCATGAATTATTTCTCCTAGTTCTTACTTTCGAAAGCAACATCTGCTCACAATAACTACTAAAACCAAACAACAACAACAACAAGAAACCAGCATGTATTTTTAAAGTCCTTTCCTGAACCCTCAGGAAGGCTCAGGGCCTCACACCATCATATGGTCTAACACTAAGCAACACCACCAGCCATTTGGTAACACATCGAGACACAGTCTCCATAGCCTGGCTAGGGTAGCCTTGAACATGATCTTGTCTCTACCTCCCAGTAGATGGATTATAGTATTATACGACCATACCCAGAAAGGAGTTTATTCTTAACATTCAACCAAGTTCTTATAACAGATAAAATATCAATAGAAAATAGTAACTATGAATGTGAAAATGCACACGCACCAGTGTACACACTCACGTTCCATGGGAGGCCCACATTATGTCAGAAAACATGGAGACACACATAAACCAAAAGAGAGGAAAAGAATACAAGCAGATGAGGGCCACATGGTGGCCGCTACCTTGGGCCTGGTGAACCGTGGATGTTCAGGGAAGATGTTGAGGATGCGAAGGTAAGATGCTCTTCAGGTAGGAAGGGGAGGATGAGAAGGTGGACGGCTCTTCGGGTAGGAAGGGAGAAGACGCTGTTTCGCCTGTCCTGGTTTTTATTGCTCTTTTGAATCCCACTCTCTCTCTTTCAATCAGTTTTTTTTTCTCGATCATTTTTCCTGACCACAACCTAAATTCTGGGCCAGATCCAGTCTTTATGTCATCATTTTGAAGGTGCTGAGAGTGAGGTCACTTCACCAAGGACCTCTTCTCTGACCCTGTTCTGCAGCGCGTACTTTACTGACAGGATTCAGAAGCATCCACCTGCTTTATGAAGAGCACTAGGGTCCACATAATGATGATGCAAAAGCTCTTTATGGATGGACACAAGCTGTGTGATATCTAAATACTGCATTGCATCCCTGGTTCATCCCGAGTTCTTCTTGCAGAATGGAAATCATTTAAAATCTCCATCTTACTGCCAGAGTCAAAGTAACATCAGTTAATCAATCAATCAATGAAAACAAATAAAACCACCTCTATCTATGTGAGTAGTTGGTGTGGGAGAATTATCTGTATTCTGTCAATCATGTATTTTAATAAAACGCTGATTGGCCAGGCAGGCAGTAAAGGCAGGTCAACCAGACAGGAAGTAGAGGTGGATCAAAGAGAACAGGAATATTCTGGGAAGCAGGAAGCTCCCTCTGCCATTCCTACCCAGCTCACCGAAGAGGCAACATGTGAGCTGCTACGCTGAGAAAGGTACTGAGCCGTGTGGCTAACAGAGATAATAATAATGGATTAATATAAGTTACAAGAACTAATAAGAAGCCTGACCTAATGGGCCAATCAGCTTTATAACTTATAGAGATCTCTGTGTGATTGATTTTCTCTGGGACTTGCTGGTTGTGGGGTACCAGACGGGAACAGATACCCCAACAAGCTGGTCCCTACATGTTACAAGTAGTGAGAACTTCGTTTAGTAAACTGTGAGTGTCTTTAAAATTTCTTAACAGCCACGTAAAATCTTAGGTTACTTTTGTAAGGTTGCCTGAATGTTAGAAGGAAAAGTGAAAACATGCCAGCAGGACTAAGATTTATAGGAAGATTTTTAAAAAGGAAGTTAGTACATAGAAAAAAAAACCCTACTTCCTCCAAGTATAGCTATTAGTGTGGTACGAAAACCAAAAAGGGAAAGAAATGAAAAATAATAACAAGAGCATTACATATTTATCCTCCCCACTTATATATAGTATTTATTTTAAAGGACAATTTATAAAATCCTAAGTGTTTAAGTGTATGAATCATGAATGATGCCAAGTTCAGTAAGAGCTAAGGTAAAACACAGAAGACAAGGTTGCCTCCTTCTCCTTCGCAGGTGTAGAACCCAGGGCCAGCCTGCAGGATGGAAGCAACAACACCAGAGTCCCTCCTCCCAGCAGAATCCATCGGAAGCTCCTTTGATGACAAGCTCATTGTAGGTGGGTTCACATCTTTACCTGCTGCAGTTAGCTAATTAACAAGTAAAACATATTTCAGTTCTTGGAAACTGATTTTAAATCTCATTAGGGATCGCCTCATGACTCTCGTCAGTAGAGTTACGGAACGTCGAACCCAGGAAAAGACTAAAGCATTGGTAGCCCCAGAAAGCCCCTGTATATTCTCAGAAATCAATGAAAACTTCCAAATATATGTATCTGGAGCCAGCAGTAGGAGGACAGAACGTGTAGGAACCATCTTCTGAGTGTGTAAATGTGTAAAAGCGATGGCTTGTGAAGCACACAGTCAAGTGCACAGTGGCAAACCGTTTTATACACACAGACTAGAGGATGCTGCTGACGCACTCGCTGAAGGAGCAAGGTGTGGTCCTCTTACAGCGCAGTCTGAAACCATTGAGACCTAACTATGCCTGTTCCTCTAGTCAGGGGCTTCTTCTGCAAGCTTCAAGCCACACACTAGAACATTCCTCTTAGATCTAGTATACCTTCTTAACTCGATCACTTCTGGAGTTAAGTTAATTAGCCAGTTCCCTAATTCTAAACCTTAAGTTAAATTTCTACCTTCACCCCCAGCCAGAAGTTTCCCTTCTTCCTGTCTCTCCAAAATGTGCTCACTCTTTTTACCCCACCACGTCTGCCTGAGTGCATACAGTTTCTTTGTCTTGTCTCAGTGGCCAGGTGGGAATAGAACCAAAGTCAGGAGACGTTCACAAGAGAACCAAATGACACACACAGGAGAGTCAGGCTTGGGAGGATCCTGGAGGCGCTCTGAGAAGTCTACCTTGGACCTGGAGAAGTGACAAGTACAGGTGTCACAGGTGAGGGCGAAGGTCAAAGATAGATCTGGACGATGTCTCTCCTCCTGTCTCGCGCTCACTGACTTCACACCCCTTCCCCCATCATCTCTTCCACAGTGACAGCGTCTCTCTGTCAGCTCTAATAACACTGTACCTTCCAGGTCTTCAATCAGACCTCGAACTTCGTTGACATTTAACACATTAAGCCATTGTTCCAAAATAAAACTTCTAAGGAATCGAAGTACTTCTTACGCTTTATCTATGAATCCCAATGGTATCTAGGGATACCATACAGGATCTGTCTAAAAGAAAGGCAGGAAGTTAGAGATTTAGCTCAGCGGTAGAGCATTTGCCAAGCAAGCTCAAGATCCTGGGTTCCATCTCTAGCACCGGGGGGGGGGGGGGGAAGAAGAAATTAAAACAAAGAAGGGGACTAGAGATTCAGTTCAGTGGTAGAGCTCTTGCCTAGCAACCAAAAGGTCCTGGGCTTGATCATCAGCACCATAAGGAAAGATAAAATTAAAATAAAGAATGGGTGGCTAGAGAGGAGGCTCAGTAGTTAAGCTTTCCCAGAGTAATCGGGTCCCAGCACCCATGTCAACTACGTTTAACTTCCATGTGATCTGACCCCCTCTTAGTGAACTCAAATAGATGTGGCACAGGCACACACACACACACATACACACATACACACACACATACACACACAGAGAGACATGTATGCATACACATAAATTCTTTTTTACAAACCTTAAAAGGGAAAAACAGGAAGAATAAGTTTCATTTCTGTAGCTTTAATGCTGACAGTAGTAAACACCTCCTAGCATCAAGCTGGCATACATTGGGACCCATAAATATCTCTAAAGTATATTTAGATAATTGCTTTGTAATCTCAATTCCTATCCAATGTAGTAGCACTCAACTAAAACGTATTATACTGAAAGGCTTCTGTATGGCAAAGGACAACATCATTTGGACGAAGTAGCAGCCTCCGGAAGGTGAAAGGATTTTTAGCAGCTGCACATCTGACCCTAGGCATATGAAAAACTCAAGTGGAGAGGGAACCTGAACTGGCCTTCCCCATAATCAGACTGGTGATGACCCTAACTGTCATCCTAGAACCTACGTCCAGCAGCCGATGGAAGCAGATGCAAAGGTCCACAGCCAAGCACTGGCTGAGCTCCTGGAGTTCAGTAGAAGAAGCCTGATTCTTGGTTGCATTTGCTTGGGATATTTTCTCCACCCTTTTACACTAAGGTAGTATCTGTCCTTGCTGGCCAGGTGTTTCTTGGGTGCAGCAGAGAAGTGGATCCTGCTTTCTAATCCAATTGTCTTTCTATTGGGGAATTGAGATCATTGTGTTAAAAATGAACAGTACTTATTAATTTGTGGTATTCTGTGGTTTCTGTGGGTTTCTCTCCTCACCTTTGGGGATTATTTATTTCTGGTGTCCTAACTGATGGACAGGCTTGTTTGAGTTTGTTTTTGTTATGAAGCTTTTTCCTTCAGTTCTGATTGAGAATCTTGCTGGGCACAGCAGGCGGACCCTGCAACTGTGATCCCTAGAGCTTACAGAACAACTGCCCAGGCCTTTCTGGCTTAGCTGTATATGTGACTTGGTCTTTTTTCTTTGCAGATGTTAAAATCCTTTTCCTTGCTCAGTACATTTAATGTCTTTATTATATAATATAGGTAGTTTCTCTCTGGGACTGTCTCTTTGATGTTCTGGATGACTCCTCACAGGCATCTTTCTTCAGTTTGGAGACATTTTCTTCTATGATTTTCTTCAAACTATTTTCCAGGACTTTGGTCTGGGATTCTTCTCCTTCTTCTATAGTTATTATTCACAGGGTTGTTATTTTTTTCCATACTGTTCCATTTTCTGGGGTTTTATTTACTTAAGGTTTTCTTTGACTGGTCTAAGCATTTCTTCGTCTTGTCTTTAAGACCTGAAATCCGTTCTTTCATGTCCTCTAACCTGTTGACAGGACTTACCTCTAAGGATTTTGATCGAGTTTTTCATTTCCAGTTTTATTTTAGTTTAGGTTTATTTGGTGATTCCATTTCTTTATGAAAGTCTACTTTCATGCCTTGAATTGTTTTCACTATTGCATTTAACTGTGTCTTCATAGACTTTATTAAGGCAGGTATTCCTACCCTTTTTAAGATCTTTGAACATATTCATAATCGCTATTTTGAAGTCCTCATTTTGTGCTTCAGCTAAATTGCTTTTCTCAGGACTTCTTACAGTAGATTTGTTCTGAGGGACATACTCTTGTGGTTGTTCATAGTCGGAATTTTTATGCTGGGATCTAGGCATCTGGAGTCATGGCATTTGAAGTGTTTCTTGGTATAGGTATCTAACTTCATCTTTTGTTGGGTGAGTGTTCTGGTCCCAGTCAAGTATGGCAGCTGTGGATCCCTAGTAGAGCGAGGTTCTGGGGGCCAGCAAAGTCACCCAGGGATGGAGAGAAGCTAGAAGGGAGGACAGACAGGGGTGCCAGAAATAACCAGTTGGAACCTTGGGCCCCTGGAAATGAGTGTTGGGGCTAGATTTCTTGTCTTCATTTTATGAAAGCTAATGAGTATATAATATGCAATAATTAAAGAAAAATATAATTGTCATGCATCAATCTCTGAAATTCACTTAATGCACAGTGTATATGTAAACATTATCTTTAAAGGAGCCTACATATTGTATTAGCCCAGAAGGAAATGCAGGATGCATTTTGTTTTAAGGACTTTCAGCCTGTACACACGACTAAGGCCCCCAGGAGCTATGTGACACAGCATTTTGACAATGATGTGGACTTTGAATTTTAAGTGGCGGCGATTAGGTGTTACTCTAGTGACAATATACAAAGAAGCGTACCTCGTGCAGACAGCGGAAAGCTGGCGTTTCGGCTAAATCGACCAGCCGCTCCTCTCGAATGTTAATTGTGGGCACGATGGCAGATGGGCGGTCCTTCTGGTCCTTCCTAGATTCCCCCTCTCCTGTTTCTGCTTTCGCTTTCTCATCATCATCTTCATTTTCTTCTTCTGTGTCTGTGCTGCTGTCTTCCATGCTCCACAGCTCTGAAATCAAATCAGTTCATATTCAACCATGGAAGCCTGTCTTCACTTACAGAGTGATAGGAAATTGTAGAAAGTAAGCAAAACTCAACTAAAAGAAGTCCATCTCTGTCTGTTTGTTTGCCCCCTCTCTATCTCTCTCTCTCTTCTCCTCTCTCTCTCTTCTCCTCTCTCTCTCTCTGTCTCTCTCTCTCTCTCTCTCACTCTCTCTCTCTGTCTCTCTCTCTCTGTCTCTCTCTCCTCTCTCCGTCTCTGTCTCTCCTCTCTCTGTCTCTCTCTGTCTCTGTCTCTCTCTCTGTCTCTCTTTCTCTCTGTCTCTCTCTCTGTGTCTCTCTCTCCTCTCTCTGTCTCTGTCTCTCTGTCTCTCTCTGTCTCTGTCTCTCTGTCTCTCTCTCCTCTCTCTGTCTCTGTCTCTCTCTCTCTCTCTCTCTCTCTCTCTCTGGAACAAAGCCCAGGCCTGAGCATACTATACAACTTCTCGTGTAGCTCCACATGCCCTCAGCCCCAGACGCTATCTACAATACCTTCAGGTTGTTGCTGCACTGGGAGAGAAAATACACAGCTAGATGACAAGCTCCCTAGGAAGGAAATGACTTCCTCAGTAGGCCCTGAAGCATTGTTTACTGAATGGATAAGTACAACCTTTCAATTAAAATGTAACATGAAAAATTAGGGGCTGAAGAGATGGCTTAAAGCCCTTGCTTCAAGCAAGAGGGTAAGCTCTGTTTGCCAGCAAGCATACCAGTGCAGGGTGGGCATGGCTGCATGTTTATAATTCCAGCCCAGGAAGGCAGAGTCTGGACACCCCCAAACAAGCTGTCTATGAGAGACTAGCCAACCAGTAAACTCTGGATTTGATTAAGAGACCTGACCCAGCCGGGTGGTGGTGACGCATGCCTTTAATCCCAGCACTTGGGAGGCAGAGGCAGGTGGATCTCTGTGAGTTCAAGGCCAGCCTGGTCTACAAGAGCTAGTGCCAGGACAGGCTCTAAAACTACAGAGAAACCCTGTCTCGAAAAACCGAGAGAGAGAGAGAGAGAGAGAGAGAGAGAGAGAGAGAGAGAGACCCTGACCCAAAGGATAAGATGAAAGATCAATCAAAGAAGATTCTGGACATCAACCTGGGGCCTCCACAAGCACACTGCTCCCAACATGTGAACCCACATACGTGCAAACTATGTATACACTTATGTCCTAAAATTAATAGCAGGGACTTTGGAAAATATGAATCAATGGCCAGCTTGAGATCCAGGCATGGGCAGGGTGAGGGGAGAGAGAAACAGGCTCTTAGAAAGCCGAGCAGAGGAACAGGCAGCAGTGATTCTCAGCAGGGTCGGAACATGTCTAATCTCAGGCAGAGGAACAGGCACCATCATTCTTATCAGGGTCAGGACATGTATAATCTCAGGCAGAGGAACAGGCAGCAGTGATTCTTAGCGGGGTTGGGACATATCTAATCTCAAGCAGCAGACCCTTTCCCCCATTTAATTCCAAGGAGCAAAAGGGCTGCAAAAAGAACACGGGTCACACATCACCACATATGACTGTGGGCAGGGCTCTTCAGCCACCTATTAGGTTAATTGCACTTTGTTTTCTGATACTTCTATAGCATGTAGTTTGTCCAGGCTTCTGTAGTCACTCTTAAAAATTTATTATTCATATTGTCTCCTGTGGTGGAATATTAGTTTAAATGTGTCACATTTGTTTATGCTGCAGATATTTGTTTAATGATGCAAAGATGTGCTGCATTCTTTTATCTTGCATTTGTTTAACTCTGTGAAGCTGTGTTACTGTGCCTGCCTAAAACACCTGATTGGTCTAATAAAGAGCTGAACGGCCAATAGCAAGGCAGGAGAGGGATAGGCGGGACTGCCAGACAGAGAGACTAAATAGGAGGAGAAATCTAGGTTAGAGAGAGTGAGGAATGAGAGTAAGGACGAGGGAGGGCACCAGGGGCCAGTCACCCAGCCTCAGAGCCAGTCACAGGGTAAGACGGAAAGAAAATTATACAGAATAAAGAAAGGTAACGGTCCCAGGGGCAAAACGTTAAAGAGAAATGGGATAATTTAAGGTAGAAAATCTGGCGAGAAACAAACCAAGCTAAGGGCAGAAATTCATAAGAATAAGTCTCCATGTATTTATTTGGGAGCTGGGAGGCGGACCCCCAAAGGACCAACTACAGTCTCCCTAATTATACTCCTTAAGAAGGAAGCTGAATTTGCCTAGGTATCTTCAACACCCAGCAAGCAATACACAGCACAGAATGAGCACCAAGAGGATTTCCAGCAGAGCAAACGGTTTCAGCAAACAGTTTCAGCTGCTCTGCTCACTTTACGACTGCAAATCACGTGCTTGGATTTCCAGCCAGGACCGCTGAACCAGGGAGCTAACAGTGACATAGTCAGCCAGGACCGCTAAGCCAGTGAACTGACAGTGACGTAGTCAGCGTGTTAGAACACTGGTTTGACCCAGTGGCAGTTCCGGTGAAGCCACACTGCAGCTCTGCCCTGGTTTGTCACCAGCTTGGAAAAGCTTCTCCTCTAGCGGGCTTCCTGAGGAGCTGCCCAACCCAACTCAAAAAAAGAGATGTGTGAGGGTTTTTGTTGTTGTTGTTCAAAAAGCAAAAAAAAATTTACTATGAAAATTACCTTAAATATAAAATTTAACCCTTAAATGTTTTATTGCTTACAGAAGACAATAAATTTAATGATTAAATGAAATGAAAAAAACCAAAATAAATGGAAACAAATACAGACAACATTTGCAAGAAAATGTTTTATAATAATTTTACATAGTAAAATATGTAATAGTGCAGTAACATCTTGCTTGGTCATAAGATTGTTCTGACTCATTTTTTCCGCAAAATAATTTATTAGGGGATCAAAATTTATACTTTTGCAATTTAATTTTTAATTGGCATAATTGAAAATGATGTGAGCTGCTCTTGGGAAATACAAAATTGCAACTCATTTTGGCGATGTTTAACTGAGAAGGTTGACAACATCAGGATAAATTTCTAAAATGTCCTTTCAAAAACTAACATCTGGATCCAATGGGCCTCACTTGTGGAGCGCTGTTTCTCATGCACAATGGCTACTGCGTTCTTTAAAACAGTTTTTAAGGTTTTACATGCATGGTGTTTTGCATATACGTTGGTCTCTGCCTGTACATCACATGCCTGTAGTACCCTCAGAGACCAGAGGAGGGCATCAGATTCCCTAGAACTAGAGTCGCAGTTGTCAATGGCCATGTAGGTGCTGGGAATTGAATCAGGGTCCTCTGGTAGAGCAGTCAGTGCTCTTAGCCACTGAGCCATCTCTCCAGCTCTAATTACATTCTCAATCAGAGCGGCTGTGATTTCCCACGAGCAACTTTCAAGAAGAATCTGTGCTGCAGGGGCTCTTTAGAGCCTCATCTAACATTCCAGGTGTCCCCTCGCCTCCTTCCCAGCTGCTTGTAATTCTGCCCCCGCTGAGGTGGTCCCAGGTGCCAGAGAGGTGGGGCTGCCCTCACCCACACTAGGAGAGGACTCTGCCCCGGCTGAGGTGGTCTCCCCAGATACTGGAGGGGCGGGGCTGCCTTAACCCACACTAGGAGGGGACTCTGTCCCGGCTGAGGTGGTCTCCCCGGATACTGGAGGGGCTGCCTTAACCCACACTAGGAGAGGACTCTGCCCCAGCTGAGGTGGTCTCCCTGGGTACTGGAGGGGTGGGGCTGCCTTCACCCACACTAGGAGGGGACTCTGTCCCGGCTGAGGTGGTCTCCCCGGGTACCGGAGGGGTGGGGGACGATCCCTCTATGTAGCTGCCTTCACCCACACTAGGAGAGGACTCTGCCCCAGCTGAGGTGGTCTCCCCGGGTACTGGAGGGGTGAGGACGCTCCGTCTATGTAGCTGCCTTCACCCACACTAGGTACCGGCACTGTTCTGGAGCCTCGCATGCTGCTGTAAGTCAGCCCAGTAACTCCCCGGTTCACCCAGTGACCTGATGTCATCATTACATCTTGTCTGATGTTGCTGCTCTATTTGGTGGAAACGGTTGTTTGCTGAGGTCTCCCCTGGAAAAGTTAATACGACAGTCTCATAAGACAGGTTTTTCTACAGAGACCGACCTTTAAACAAGCCAGCTTCACGCATTGGCTGAATTTCAAGTGCGCAATCATTTAATATTCATCTTGGTATTCCTTGGGACGTTCGTTCAGCCTGCGGAGACTGCCAGACTCCAAGCAAGGCTGTAGGCTTAGTACTGACACCCAAACGCTTGCTTGTTGTCTTAGAGAGGGTGCCCACTGCTGTGATGAAACACCTGGACCAAAGAACAAGTTGGGGAGGAAAGGGTTTATTTGGCTTACACTTCAACATTGCTGTTCATCACTGGAGGAAGTCAGGACAGGAACCCAAACAGGACAGGATCCCGGGGGCAGGAGCTGATGCAGAGGCCATGGAGGGGAGCTGTGTACAGGCTTGTTCCTCGTGGTTTGCTCAACCTGTTTTCTTATAGAGCCCAGGATCAGCAGCCCAGGGGTCCAGGGATGGACCCTCCCCCATCAATCACTAAATGAGAAAATGCCTTCCAGTTGGATCTCAAGGGGGCATTTCCTCAGCTGAGGCTCCTCCGATGACTCTAGCTTGTGTCAGGTTGACACGCAACACCCCAGCACAGCTGACCCCTTGTCAACTTGACACACAAGCACATCACAATTAAGAAACAACCCTTCCTTTGTTATTCATCCCCAAGATCTCCAGTAACTTTAAAAGTTCTACAGTCTTTACAAATTCAAGCACATTAAAACTTCAGTTTCTTTAGAACAGTCAATCTCTTTAAAACTACAAAGCCTTTTAAAATTCAAGTCTCTCAACCCAGGCAAATCCTTTCTTATTTCAAGAGGGAAGGATCAGGGCACAGTCACAATCAAGTTAAAGCAAAACAAAATTCCAACTGTCCAGTGTCTGGGATCCACTCAGTCTTCTGGACTCCTCCAAAGGGCTTGGGTCACTTCTCCT